AAGGTATCGTCGGATTCAAAGTAAGGTGTAGAGACGCTAGTGACTAGTGCATAGTCAAAAATGATTCTGTTACAAATACTTTGCCCGATTGCATATTACTTCTTAACGTTTTAACTTTAGAAGTCTTTCTGGTCAGCAAATGGTTTATTTTCGACATTTCATTTAAAAAATAAAAAGGAATTTTTGTTTTTTAAGTGTTAAATCACTATGATCGATGGAAAACGTCATAAAAAAAGACGTTTTTTTTATGTGAGATTAAGTTGCCAAGCGAGCAGATGGTTCACCTGATGTAAAGTGAATACCGCCGCTCATGGACATCTGCTACACCCGAGGGCTCACTCACCAGACGAAACGCGAAAGTATTGTACTTCCACTTTACGCCGGTCTTCTCTGAGGTCGTGGTACTTACCCGGATGAGCCTGCCCATTCGTGCAACAGCTGATGCTGCTGCGTTGCCCTACCACCGTAAAACACCGTGTTGGTGGTTAAAATATTAATAGCGATATGTGTGTCTGCCATTTAAAATTTACTCTTAGCTTAAATTATTTATAAATATTACTTGAAACATACATAACTCTGTTTACAAATTCATGTATGTATATTCGTTTATTAAAACGTAACTATACAATTTCGTCAGTATTTACAACGTCATTGTCAACAGCGTCATTTAGTTATAGCATACACGCGTATTTACCTTTCACCTGGCGATGATAAAACATTTAAATTAATGTAAAGTATATAAGAGACGTCGCCCGGGTCCCGGGTTGTGAAATTAGCACATCAAAGCAAAGCGAAGGTCGGACTTTTCGGGTTCCATTTACATTTCAAAAAGGGAGCATTTTGTATGCTTTAAGCCTTTTCAGGGACGCAGTGTCGGGTGTGACGCTACACATTTTTGATTCAACTTTTCGCTGCAAACTCGACACGTTGACCCCCTCACAAAGTTTGTGATTCGTAATCCTGTGGATTTGCACCGAAATTATAAAAACTTATTCCCCTGGAACAAATGTTAAGTAGCGACGTCATCGTAATTGGGAAACGAGTTTTGTCTTATATTTATCCTTCAGAAAGCTACCTAGAGTTCCACTTTCGATTGGCTTTATTCGCTATCAGAAGTCGGCGTCTGTTCTTTAATATCTGGCAAAAAGCTATCTTTAATTTCAGCTCCCTTTGCCGAGTAAATAACGATTTATAAAATAAATACCTTCAGATGTCAAACCGTCCTGATGGTAATTATGAATAGTAAGCCAGTTTTAATTTAGAATTAAGCATTTATTGTTTTGCCCCTTATATTTATATATAAAATACATGCTTCGAGCACCGATATTTAGTAGCTCCCTACAAAAACAACATAGCAGTGCTTAACATAGTACTAATCCCCGCTTTTATCATCGATCCCTAACTTTAAGGGACACCTCAAAACAATTAAGTGCCATTTTCGTTTTCACCGCCGCTAAAGTGTCACCTAAAGACTTAAGTGTGAAAATTAAGCCTTGGTGAAAAAGAAACTGGTAACTAATTTTTTTAGGTGTCCCTTAAAGTTAGGGATTGATGGTGGAAACGGGCGTCAGTATCACAAGTTATAATTCATTTAAATATATTTTTACCGACACACCTTAATGTTAAAAAAAATAAGTATATGAAAAATATTTTTAAATAAATTTAAAAATATATCTTGATTATTGTACATTTGCCATTTGTAACAATAAACTACTTGTTAGTCAAGCTGTATAGCTTGTGGAAATAATTCTCACGTATTAGTTTTTCCATATTTGCTCAAGAATTCACTTAGATCTCGTTAAGAAAAAACTAGCACTTCGTGTAGATTTAATACCAATCGGATAAAGAAGTTTATGTGGGATAAAAGTAAAGCGCTATGGTCTTTTAAGGTAGTTATTGCTATTGTTATGTGTTTTTGGTTTTGATAGACATACAGACTCCTGTCATTATTCTCTAACAATATTCTCAATACTTTGAAATAAACATCATACAAAGAATTAAATTAATTACTGAACACAACGATAAAAATTCGAATACTAAAAATCAGAATAAAAATATATTTATGTGGGGTATGTATACAACAGACATGATTTTTTCGCCGTTTTTATAGATATTGGTACGGAAACGTTCGTGCGCGAGTGCGACTCGCACTTGGCCGCTTTTTAATACATTATGTATAATTGTAGTAATTATTAATCCCCTAACGACGAACATCGAGGCTTGTGTTAGTCATTAAGTATATGGATATGTCCCGTCAAAACGTTTTACAATGCCCGTTCAGGAGCAAAATTTGTGACCCGGTGCCAATACAAGTTGGAGTCGTAAATATTCATTTCGCAACGCAAAGTGGCTTTAAAGTGGGCCGAAAGAACAAACTAAACTCGGAAACAACGGTATATTGTTGTAGCAATCGGAAGCAATAGCAGTTTGGAATCGTTAGCCGCCCCTTTGTGCTTTAAATAGATCAAGTTGTAAGGAAAGTTTTTTGACGTGAAACATCTTATGTAGACTGGCTGGCGGTGGTACGTTGACATGATGTTTTTAATAAAGAATGTTAAATTGTACAGATTTTTTTCTTAGTTTTGTTATTATTGCATACATATTATCGTTAATAAGCAATCGTTTGAAGTTGTACTTCTGTCAGCGAGCTAAAAAAATTAACGAGGAAAAAATTATAAGTATAATTTACAACACACGCGCACAGCGATACGAAATGAACACCGTGAAGTTAATCGGTAGATCCCCATCCCTTTAGTAATGTGTAAAACACCAATAATATAGAAAAACCCCAAAATATTTTTAAAATAAAAGCTGAACATGGCGGGAGTCACGACGGGTCGTAGATGTTCAGTTTTTAGTGGTTCAAATATTGAATCTGCGGGAATGTCCGTAACGAGATTCGACCGGTTTTCGTGTGTTCTTTCCGGATTTGCTCCCGGGCCCTTAAAACACAATAAGTGTTTTCACTACGTTTTGTTATACGTCAATGCCAACGGTGTACCCTTATTTTTTTAAGGATATTTAATGTAAACGGAAGTTCCGAGTTAAGTTAAAGTAAAAACATCTGTTACAAAATGAAAAGAAGACTTTAGTCAACTTTATACGTCAATTTTAAAAGTATTCACTCCATTATCAATGTACTGACAATGTGTGACTATTAGTATTCACGTTTTACAAAAAACTCTTACTACTCTTCTTACTAGCAGCAATATTTAATAATTATTGTACAAATAGGAAACAGCATTCTACTACAGTTTTGGAGCTGAAAAACAGCCCGTCCATAATCTCTCACCGATATTAACGAGATGAGTATAATTAAAATGAGTCAATACGATAAAAGTAAGATTTCTTCAATAAAAGCAATTCGAAATACCAACAAGGGGATGGAAAATATTTAATATTTAAATCTCGGGCGGGCAACTGATGTGGACGGAATGAATTCGAAATCAATTTACTCGACAATACAAGAAAAATAAACGTGAACGGTATTTTGAAGGCTATTAGGGGAGAAAATAGCACCGCGGAAAAGTTTTTATTTACCGACTTCGCGTCATTGGAGCTTCAAGGATTTTATCAATGTTGTTCTCGAATGGAAATAATTTTAAAGAGTGTATAAGCAATATTCTTCTATCAGGTCCTTTAAATATGAAATTACCGATCCTTAAATTCCGGCTTGTGGGATCGGAATAGTCCAGTGAATCAAGTTTTCACGTTTAAATAATTTTATAATACAGCTACATTTGTTTTAAGAACATTTCACAAAATTTTTCTTTAAAAAAAAAAAATCAGCTGTTCATTTGTTTATCACCATTTTATCATATTTGATGTCACTGAATGAAAATGATCATAAAAAAAAAAAAAAAAAAAAATCAAATATATTTTTCATGAAACTAAAACGGCAATTTCACATGTAAGTCTCATATTTTCGACAATACTGACTACTTCAATATATGTGATAGTGATGTAAATAAACGTAACAGCTTATACATGTCCCACAGCATAGGCAAAGGCCTCCTCTGTACAGAGGGTATCAGGGCACCACGCAGCCTCACTGCGGATTGGCGGACTTCACAAAAAGACGCCCCAAAAATGGAATCCTATCGACTGAATTATTCGCAGTTGTTATCTGGGCGACGAAGTAATTTTCTCAATTACAACAAGACACACACAAGCCCTGCCCGCACCAGCGTCCTGCTATCACTGATCTATGGGAATTGCTTTCTTGATTAATAGCCGCTTGATACGCATCGGGGGCGCAACTGCAGAGGGACTGCAGTTTTATTTCGAAAGATTTGAATCTCAATTATAAATGGGATTAAATAATGCAACGGAGGAAACGTTTAAGAAGGGTTGACGTAAAGTTTTTATTTTGCATAAAGTTGCTGCTGATTTAGTTTCATGGATTTTGTTACTAACTCTAGTTCTCTACTATGGGATTGACACTTTGGTTGCACTCAATAACAAATTAACGATCATATTTCAAAGCGGAGTATGATACGTTTGGTATTTCAATTTAATATCATTAATTTTAATTTAATATCATCGAATAAATAACATTAAAATGTAATTTATATTGTTTATAGTGCTAATCTTTTCAATAAATAATTTTCTACATATTTTCATTAAAATGTGATAAACTAAGAAAATTTTTCGTTTAAAAACCGTATAAAATATATTCGACGTTGAATATTTGTAATGAGAAATGTCGTTTTAGCTATGAAAATTTTGGATTAATTTTTATTTTTATTGCTAGTCTCTGCATTCAAGATGAAACGTAGAATGTGATTTTTAATATAAATTAAGAAAAACTTTTGGAGTACCATGTACCTTAGGCATAATGGCTACATAGTTATGAGATAGCATGACTCCCAAAGTAACGTTAGAATGTAAAGGAGCATAAACTGCTGGTGTTGATATTGCCCCAAAAAGGTTTATAATCACACCGATCAAAACTTTTCAAATTCGAAATATAAATCGCACCGAACCGAGGGTCTACGTCACGTCCCGTTTCTTAGAACAACCGAGGCGACACGACGCGCAACATTAGTGCGGCGCTCGAGCCATGCGTAGGCGAACCTGCGTTGCCGCGCTTTGGCCTGGTCCCAATCCACCGCACAATGCGAGACAATCACTACCCGGGTGCACAGCACAGACATTGCGAGCATCGGCGTTCCACCGCAGCACGAGAATTTATTGTTTACTTCCCATTTAAGAATGGCCGAAAACATCTGGAGTCCCATTCAACGTTGCTTGGCTCGGTTCCCCTCGAAACAATGCCGCTGTCGGTTCTAGGGCGGCATTTTGCATCTGCTACTTCGCTCGCGTGGCCCAGTGTGGGGTTTTTAGATTTGGATAGACGCGGGTTCGGTTGGGCTTAACCCAAATTTAAAATGTATAGGTAGCTTAAATTTTTATTTTTCAATAATGCAGAAAAAATGCAACTCTGCTAATCTTATGTATTTGGTTAAATATTCAAATATCTCAGAGATATTTTAGGCGACGATTTATCAATTATTAAGTGTTATATTGTCTAATATTAACCAATATTTTTTTATGTACCGATTTTGTTGTTCTACTCTTAAATTTTTTTTTATTTTTTGTTATGCGCGTCCTTTTGTGGTAAAAAAAAATATTTTCTTTCTTTCTTTCAATTTTTTTTTTTTTTATGCGAAAAGTTGTCAAACGAGCAGACGGTTCACCTGATGTTAAGTGAATACCGCCGCCCATGGACATCTGCCACACCCGAGGGTTACAGATGCGTTGACAACCTTTTGAAAATTGGGCTCCGGCTACCTCACTCACCAGACGAAACGCGAAAGTATTTGTCATACTTCCACTTTACGCCGGTCTTCTGTGAGGTCGTGGTACTTACCCGGACGGGCCTGCCCATTCGTGCAACAGCCGAAGCTGCTGCGTGGCCCTACCACCGTTTATTCATACCAATTGTTTATTCATACATAAGGTAAATCAGCTTACCAAACGTCGCAGCTGGTTATTAAAGTGGGGAGCGTATTGACTATCTTTTTTATTGGAAGACGTTTTCCTGCTTTATAAATAATGTCCCATTTTTATTACAGGAAATAGACCAATACAACATTTGACGAATGCACGAATGGCGCAAACATTAAATGGTCGGAAGGTGGTCAATTTGCCATTGTCTTCGCTTGTTTGTTAGCTCTAATATGCTGTGCTCTGTACGGTGAAGGCCAATTAATATTAATAAATAAATATTTATTTATTTATTAATATTAATTAAAATTATATTTAGCACACATTTTTACATAATATTCTCTAGTCCCAAATTAAGCAACGCTTGTACTATGGCTACTAGATTACTGATAAACATACTTAAACATACTTTTGGTTTGTAAATAAATACATCCTATCGTGGGCGTACAAGGAAAACCCGCTAAGTCCAAAATTCGTCATTTGGAGATAAATGGGTTTGAAAATTCAGTAAGTCGTGAAAAATCGCATTATTCGTTCAGGACTTAGCTGAATGACGTAGCCTGAAATATGGACAACGATTTTTTTTAATGGAGACCCGGTACTCTACTGCAGAACCCCCCAAACATTATGTGGACGCAAAGAACGCATTTTTACCCAAAAATGGACTTAGCGGGTTTTCCTAATATCTCAGAGATATTTTAGGCGACGATTTATCAATTATTAAGTGTAATATTGTCTAATATTAACCAATATTTTTTTATGTACCGATTTTGTTGTTCTACTCTTAAATTTTTTTTTATTTTTTGTTATGCGCGTCCTTTTGTGGTAAAAAAAATATTTTCTTTCTTTCTTTCAATTTTTTTTTTTTTATGCGAAAAGTTGTCAAACGAGCAGACGGTTCACCTGATGTTAAGTGAATACCGCCGCCCATGGACATCTGCCACACCCGAGGGTTACAGATGCGTTGACAACCTTTTGAAAATTGGGCTCCGGCTACCTCACTCACCAGACGAAACGCGAAAGTATTTGTCATACTTCCACTTTACGCCGGTCTTCTGTGAGGTCGTGGTACTTACCCGGACGGGCCTGCCCATTCGTGCAACAGCCGAAGCTGCTGCGTGGCCCTACCACCGTTTATTCATACCAATTGTTTATTCATACATAAGGTAAATCAGCTTACCAAACGTCGCAGCTGGTTATTAAAGTGGGGAGCGTATTGACTATCTTTTTTATTGGAAGACGTTTTCCTGCTTTATAAATAATGTCCCATTTTTATTACAGGAAATAGACCAATACAACATTTGACAAATGCACGAATGGCGCAAACATTAAATGGTCGGAAGGTGGTCAATTTGCCATTGTCTTCGCTTGTTTGTTAGCTCTAATATGCTGTGCTCTGTACGGTGATAGCCAATTAATATTAATAAATTAATAAATATTTTAGCACACATTTTTACATAATATTCTCTAGTCCCAAATTAAGCAACGCTTGTACTATGGCTACTAGATTACTGATAAACATACTTAAACATACTTTTGGTTTGTAAATAAATACATCCTATCGTGGGCGTACAAGGAAAACCCGCTAAGTCCAAAATTCGTCATTTGGAGATAAATGGGTTTGAAAATTCAATAAGTCGTGAAAAATCGCATTATTCTTCAGGACTTAGCTGAATGACGTAGCCTGAAATATGGACAACGATTTTTTTTAATGGAGACACGGTACTCTACTGCAGAACCCCCCAAACATTATGTGGACGCAAAGAACGCATTTTTACCCAAAAATGGACTTAGCGGGTTTTCCTTCTACGCCCACGATATACACATATAAACACCCACACACTAGAAAAACACTATGTTCATCACACAATATTTTTCCAGTAGTGGGGATCGAACCCACACCCTCTGGCGCAGGAGGCAGGTACCCATTACGCCATTTGGGTATTCATTAATTATAATCAATAATTTACATTGTAGCATTGTTACCCGATCACATGGAAAAATCTTGTATGAATATTATTGAGTTTGGCCATAATAGTGTACTCGTATAAGTAAAATATGCCAAAACATCGCATATATGGAATATCGATGAAGCGAAAATATAATCAAGGGCAACGTGGCCTAAGTAGGACACGATCCAACACAACGGCCGAGGCCTCGTCTCTCGGTTTACCGAGGAAGCGATTAAATGCGGGCGCATTGTAAACATCTTCCCTACCCAGTATTTGTTTGCGCACGCCGAGTTCGATGCGACCACAGATACCATGGTGTTAATCGCGTTATATTGTAACGTGCGTCAAAATGTTATTAACTTGAGAACCGCCTATCAAAAAGCAGCTGTCGCCGCTTATGGGCATACCTGTAAAAGGGCGGGCTTGGATACTCACCAGACGAAAGGTAGAAGTATATATAATACTTCCACTTTACGCCGGTCTTCTATGAGGTCGTGAAACTTACCCGGACAAACCTACCCGTGCGTGCAACATCATACGCTTTCGCCTATTATAATATTGTACACTTGCAGTTATTATAACTAAACACACTACTGAATGTGGCCCTACCGTAGTAGGTAAATTATTGTTGTTATAATATGTTGTCTCTTGTAGAAATTATGATAATTTTATTTCGAAAATTTTTAAAAGCCTCTCAATATAATTAATAGAAACATTTTTATAAAACTGGAAGCAGCTTGAGAAACCCGTAAATTTTCGGGCTTACATTTTTACACTTATGATAGTATAAAGTCTACTTCTTCTCGTCTCTTGTTAATCAAATGTTTTTCGGAAGGTCTACCCTTAATCTCCATAGTTATTGATTAATGTAGATTTTCGTTAGTGGCTGAGATTGCTAGGTCCCCAGTTATCGTAACTTCACTAGTAAGCCGGGAGCGGGGTGTCAACTAGTTTAGTTGTTCCAGCGGCCCGGTTAATTGAAGCTGTGATTGCAACACAGCGCGGAGCTTGATTTGCACTCCGGCCTCCCGTTCAGTTGGGATCTTATTAAACGGTCGGATAGTTGCAATGGCATTTAATGACAATAAAGTAATATCGATGGTTGCGTAAACATTCCTTATATTTCCACGAATGATAAACTACGTTAAATAGAACTGTTTAACGGTTTATCTCGGTTTATTTGGGCGTTTCGAATACCTTATAGCGGCAATGATCACTAGATAGATTGCACCATCGTTATTTTGCTTAATTTACTCCCTGATGGGTTTGAAATATCTGCCACCACTTGCTATTGAATAATTCTCACCGTGGTCAAAGTCCAAGCCTAAATATGTAAACCATCGAGAATTCGAAACTTGTTGCTTCATGGCAGGACGTTTTCACCCGACAGAGAACACATAACTATAGTTAAGATATCATTTTTTCATCATCATGATTTGAGATTGATTCATCAGTCCCGTAGTCATTACCCGTACAATAATATTATAGTGCCTATAGTAAAATTATAATTATATACATGAATTTGCTCATAGAGAAACTGTGTGCATATATTATCACTACGTATTCTATATATCTTATTAAAACTGAAATTATAAATGTTTGCTACAATAAATCGTCTTTTAACAAATTTAATTTAGTTTATTTCTACTGCACTGTAAATTTATTAAAGCATCGAATATAGAATGGTCAAAATAGAACAAAAAAAAAAACTGATTCGAGACACTGTTGGGTGATTTATTTAGGAAATTTATATTAAAATATCTTTAGACCCAGAGATGATTGTCCCTGATTTGGATGTTTGTCTACATGAAGTTTAACCTATAGAATAAGGGCAATATTGATCAAAAATATATAATAATTTACGTGATAAATCCCATACCAATGAATTTAGCTTTCAATGCAAAATTCGTAAACGGTACAGTCATTCCAAAAGTTTTCCTACTGAACAAACAAAATAAAGTCTATCGCAGGTATCAAATAAATACCATTCGTGTCTCGCGTAAGATTTCGTGATTTCGAGGGCGCGAATAAAACGCGAAAGGGGAAAAACGGTTGTCGGATGCTGGCAATAAATCAAGCGGGCGAGATAAAATATTACAAATTTATCCTTTAGTCACGAACGCCCCTCGGCGGCTACGTGCCCGTGCGGGCGTTGTCTTAATTGAAATATGAAATCCTAAGATTTTCTTTCCATGCCGCTCTAGTATAAGAGCGAGGCTGAAAAGGCGGAATTATCAAGTAAAAAACATGATGCTTTGCTAAACATTTTTATTCCTAGTGTACGAGTATAAGGAACCCTAATTTATATACGAAAAATTAAAAAGAAA